TGATTACAAGTGATTGGGCGCACCCCTGCGGGCAGGTTGACACCATAGATGTTCTTTTGGATCAACACAATTAATTATATGGATAACGACATACAAAAGAGAAGCACAACACAAATGGACATCAATCATGAATAAAATTAGAGCACATTCAGTATAAAATAATGTTGCTGATATAGGCCCCGTTCGCTCGGAGGAATCTGGATGAATCTGGAGGAATTTGTGAGAGAAAAATACTGTTCTGGATGAAAAAAGAAATGGATCAAACCGGGTTTAAGGGCACGCGAACGGGGCCATAGTCATTACCTCCTTATGAGCATGAACTATTCCAAGATAAATGACAATCCACTTTCATCGAGATACTTAAATTACCTATGCACCTGTGGCTAGAGTTACTTTTAAAATATCTCCCTATTGAAATTAGCATTATTTGGTGTAAAAAAAGGTTACCATGTAAATCCAGAATGACATCAATTCACAAAGCAAAACAAAGCTCCTGAACGCCATCTATATTTGGCTGTAAGCCGTGATAATGTTCACATCTAAGCACATGATTGTTAGTTGCTACCCTGACAAACTGATAAACCTTAAAAACAGAAACCCATGCTTGTAAACATGCACATTCAAGTAAAGAAAACTATGTTACACCAGCAGTGTTGGATAATACAACTGCATCAGACATCTTTCAACATTTTCATAGTATTCTCTTTTTTGGAAAAGCCACAAGTTAATTTTGGCTGCATCAGACATCTCTCAACCCATTTTCATAATAGTATCTGAATGGAAGCTTATCTCAGCTCTTGCTGACATGTATGCAATTCATGCACTTCAGTAGTCAAAATCAAGTTGCCTTTTAGTCAAGAAAACAAATTACCTATCCAACACATAGATGGGTCATTATCACAATTGTAGATCAATAAGTCAGATTAAAAAATATTTACAGATTAAAAGAGGATGACACTAACACACCTCTAAACATCTGCATATGAGTTCGATATTTCAATAACTCAAATTCAGGCTGGAGTTTCCTTGAGCTCGTAGGGCATAGGAATCTTGAGAAACCTGAAAACAGAAGCGCAAAAGTATGTTAGAATAACTACCGCATCCGTTAATGTTTAATTTCCAAGTCCTTTAAGTTAGTACCAACTCTCTTCAAACCACTTTTTAGCTCCTCCAACTTGATCTGCCCACTATTGTCAGTGTCCAGCATTTTGAACATTTCTCTCAATCCTGCAATTTCATCTGCAGACAAATTTTCAGCAATGACCTACAGACACCCAGTGATAAGATCAATATTGAATATAATACATATGCTCTCTATAAAACCAAGTGATAACACATTCCAGTACTCACCCTAAGGGGCATCTTCTTTAGTTTATTCATTGGAGAAAAATGTTTCAATCTGGTTAAGGCAACAGAATTCCAGAGGTTTGTCAGGAGCAACTCCATGTACACAAATGCAGGGATCTCCTACCAAAGTGAAGATGCGTAATTTTAGAAGACTTATGACAATGAAGCTAGATGAACAACAGGATGCTCTTGCCAGCCTGCCTAATTGAAGGATGCATGTGTACCATACTACTGGTTTGATGCTAGCTGATGAGAGGTGCAATGGCCAGCCCCATCCCTTACAGTGCTATAACTAAAAAAATCAAAATCAATAGAATAGCACAATCTCATATATATGGAGGCAAACTATATCGGCCAACCCCTTCCCCAGTGCCAAGGACACGGCACACTGCATCAGCAGGCACACCGCGCATCCCTTTCCCTGCCGGCAAGGTCCATCAGGCACACCTGTGCAGTCGTTGAACAGAAAAAAAATGTAGGCCAACTAATAGGAAAGGAACATACAAACACAACTCTAAAGTTCGTGCAACCGGGGTGAATCGAAGTCCAGGAAAGAACCCCTTCCTTTGGGTGAGCACCCTTCATCACAGAATCCAGAGAAAAGAAACATCATAAGCAAGACAATAAAACCGCAGAACCCCAAAATCCCCACGATCACATAAATGCAAAGGAGCCGCAAAAATCCACAGGTAAAGCATTTTTGGAGAGACCTGACTATAGATTCACACAATCGCACAACGGCAGCACAACACTGGAAGAAAGCAGCAAAAAGACCCAGAGTAGGAGAGACCTGACTATAGATTCACACACTCGCACAACGGCAGCACAGGGAGCAGTTTTGGAGGCCATTTAATGGGTTTCGAGTGTAGAAGATTCATGAGCTTGGCAGTGAACTGATCATATGGGGTCATCGGTGATACTTGTCCGTTGTATGGATGAGGACTTTGTCTGAACATATGGTATCCATGTCTGAGGTTGCAAGCACCGCGTCAGGAAAACAGGCAGCATGCAAGAAACAACATGACACATGATCTCAGCCATAAGTATGGAAAAGGAAAACCATGCCATTTTTATTTCAGATAGAAATATTTTTGGAGAATACTCTAGACAGTGTCATAAAAATTGATGCAGCTGTGATCAGTCTACTATTTGATAGAACCAAAATTGTAAGCGTTCACGAACTTGGTCATTTTTATCTAAGCAACTTGATCCGATAATAGTGGTATGGTTGAATGCCGATGAAGGCAAGCTAACTGTATAATTCTCTGATGCTATCCATTGAACTACAGAAAAAAATTGAACCTCACTGAGTCAATTGTTAGCTAATCTACTGCCACCTTGTGAGAACACAGCAGAGGAAGGCGGCGCCGACTTAGCTGCCTGCTGTGTGTGAACACAGCAAGGGAAGGCGGCGCCGACTTTGCCCCCTGCTGTGATACATGGCAGCTGCAGTGTGCAGGCGCATGACGGCTCACTTGCAAAGATCAGAGAACAGCAAAGGGGCGGCCAGCAGTCAGTCACTGTCACAAGTTATCTAGTTATCGTGCAAGCATGGGCGCCGCACATGGACTAGATAGTTAGAGTTGTATAAATATACATGTATGGCAACTCAAGAAAGAGAGCTCAGATTTGCCATCACACGAGCGGGGCTTCGCCAACGCCGTTGCTTTGTACTTTGTCGCGTGCTTGCTCTGTTCTCCTTCCTCTTCTAGCTCGATCCGTAGTGTGTGGGTACGGACAACGCCGGTGACGCGGTCTGCACTTGCACGGCTAGTGGGTGCTCGGCAACACTAGCGCGTGCTCGGCGAGACCGACAAGTGCTCCACTCGCCTGAGCCGGTGTTCGGCAAGATCGGCTGGAGTGGTTCACTGTCGTGAGCCGGTGATCCTGTGAGACCAACGGAGTGGTCTGGAGGCTATCTCGGTGGTCTGGAGGCTATCAGGTAGTGGTCGGAGGCTGTGGTCTCTGATCTGGAGGCTATCTGTAGTGGTCTGGAGATCATCTCGGTGGTTGGGAGGCTAACTGTGGGCCAACATCAATGAATGTACAAAACAACACTGGGAGCACAGAAAGGAAACAAATGTTAAACCAAACCCCATCATGTATTCATGTCAATGCTCTTAATTTTGCCCGCAGAGCTAGACGGTGCGTTAAGTACAGGACAATGATCTATGAAGTGCATGCTGCAGTCTGCAGATGAAAACGGGACTCAGTGGATGAACCACACAAATAACATGTACTCAAGCAGAACCCAGGGCGAACAGGTAGAACTGGCACCGCACACCTACATACATCAAGCTTGACCATTTTGTTGGGAAGCAGTTATTGTACAGGATATCTTTCCACTAATCTGCATAGAAGATATAAATATATAATCATGTTTTTAGTTGTATAGGAAGTAAGAACAGACCTCACATATCTAAAATACCTGGCACAAGATTGGATCCTTATCTGACACATGAATACAGAAAAGAAAGAAGAGAGGAACTAAATATGGTAGTCTGTAGAATGATGGGCGCTACAGCAAATCTTAATCTAACTGACAATGGCTAAGAAAAACACATGAGGAATTTGAAACAGAACAGGTTTGAATACCATATAACCTCTAAGGATGCAAGATGCTGAACTGATTGCACTATCCCCTTGGTAACAAATGGAAGTGAAATCAAATCAAAGAAACAGCTAAGTAGCAGTCTATAAAGCACATATATAACCACAACATCAATGGCACGATTTGTCTTGCTGACACTGTTGTTTTCACATGCTAATGCTCAAATTGCAGTTCTACCAGTGTTTCATATGAGATACTTCCCAGGTTTTGCTGCTATGTTTGACTGTTTGAGGTACTTAGTTATAAGACCAATTTTCACAAATGGGTTCAGTTACCTGAAACAAAATAAAAGGTGAAAAGACAGTAAATGCTACTACTCCCTCCCTCCGTTCTAAATTTTAAATCGTTCTGATTTTTCTAGATACATAACTTTTATTAGGTATTTATACATAATGTATATCTAGGTACGTAATAAAAACTATGTATCTATTATCTAGAAAAGACAGAACAACTTAAAATTTGGAATGGAGGGGATCCAAAACAAATGACGAACCAAACACCATCTTATAAAACTCAGATAGTATACTGTAATTAATATAGACAACCAACTATCCAAGGAAGGGGGTAGCTAACTATTAATTTAATCTACTATTAGTACTCCCTCTGTCTCACAAAAAGGTATCAGTCTCATTTCCCGAGACGTCTGGCTTATCAGCCATAAAACAGTGTTTTTCTCTCACAACAAATCAGCTTCAGCTAGCTTATCAGCCGCAAAAACCATCAGCCGAACAACACTTATTAATTTAATCTACTATTAGGAGTAGTACTCCCTCTGTCCCACAAAAAGCATCATTCTCATTTCCCGAGAAGTCAAACTTTTTTTAACAATGACCAAATATATATATAAAAAAGTAATATTTATAGTGCATAATTAGTACCATTAGATGAATCACTGAATATAATTTCATAATAAACTGATTGGGAGATACAAATGTTGCTAATACTTTCTCCAAACTAGTCAAACTCAGCACGAACCTCATAGCGAGATTCTTTTTGGATGGAGGGAGTATATAGGATCAGACAGCAGTACTGGAACACCATTTCACTGACAATCAAGGTCAGGCAATAATATCCTCACGACGAGCTTCCGTTGCCTCTTCAGCTTTCTTTTCTTCTCTCTCGCATGAGCCCTTGACAAAGCCTCAGTCATATCAGAGTTCATTGGCACCGCAACTTTCAGCAGATCAATGAAAGCTTCGACGTCCTTGACCTCCCCTTCATCTCCAAGATACTTAAGTATCATCTCAATCATAGAAGGACTAGGGACCCAGCCAGAATTAGGGGCGTACATATAGAGGGCATTTTTGGTCAGCTCATAAGCTCTCGCAACATCACCTTTCTCCGTATAGACACTTGCCACAATTTCCCAGCTGGTTGAAGGAGGCATCTTTCCCTTTATCAAGAAGCCGTCAAGCAGCGCCTCGGCCTTGTCCATCAAGCCCTTTCGGCAGTACCATCTGAGCAGCACATTTGGAACTTTGAAGTCCAATTCATTTTTGCTGGACTCCCACTCTTTCAGCAAGTCTTCGGCTTCCGCGATCTCATCAAGCTTCACAAGCACTGCAAACATGTTGGTGTAGTCCGTGTTAAGATGCCTCTGACAGTTCGACATTTGCAGCACCCATAGCCTCTTGACCTCTGATTTGTCCCCAAGGTGGCCATACAGGGAAATCAAGTGTCTATAGGCATCCAAATCCTTTTTACCCTTTTTTGCCTCTGCTTTCTGTAAGGCAGAGTATGCCTTCTCCCTTAGGTCACCCTTAATGTATTGGCTTGCCACGACAGCATAGGTATTCCAGTCAACAACAATTTGAGGCTCACATTCCATCTCCTCCAGGGTGTTCTCCAACCCAAAAAAGTCAGCTCTTGTGCCATAAGAATTTATGCATATTCTGTAGCTAAAATTATCAGGAACAATCCCATTGCTCTTCATTTCTGCCATCACCAAAGGAACCCTCTCATGCTGCCCTATGTTGGTATAGAGGCTCATGAGGTTGTTGTAGGGGAGTGCGGTGAACACGAAACCCAGCTCTTTCATCTTCTGAAAATGGGCCAACGCTTTGTCGACCAAGAGTTCTCGTGCGTAGCAGTTGAGAAGTGCACCATAGGGCTTCTCTGTCTTATCTTTGTCAGATAGGTTATTGAAGTAGGTCTCTGCTACTCTAACTCCATGAATATGACCGATTAAATCCAGGTGAACAGCATGATCCTTTGACAGAAATTTGATGTGACCCTTGAGATTCATCCACTCAGAGACCTGTGCAAAGTGAAAAGATAATGATCAATGAGGGATGCCAAGAATTCATACAAAATTGTGCATACTTGTCTGCAACGCTAAGTCCTAGTAATATATGCTTCTTGAGGACATGTATTCACTAATCATGTGCTATGACTTCCCTAGCTATGACTACGATGCAATGATGGCCAAGCTCTGAATCGTATATGTTGACCAGCATTGTGGATACAGATAGGGGTAAGCACATAAGTAGTGCCTATGACTGAAAAGCAGGCCAAAATCTCTCTGGATTCCTGAATTCAAGTTGCCCTCTTTGTATCAGTCCTCTCCATGTCACTCAGAGAAGGAAAAAGTATTCACAAATAAATATTTCACGTGATTAGCAAGGTACCAATGAGTTGCATATCGCATTTTAGAAATTTCTGCATTACATTGTGCTAGAGAGAAATCTATCCTCTTTCTGTAGCAGCATCATATCATACACATACACCTCAAATGCAAATACGAAGAGACAGATAATATGGCAAGAAAAACAACAGCATCCCCCCATATCATTTCATCGAACACCTTCCACGCGCCAATGACAACAAGCGGCCTAGAATGGAAGGAGGAGGGCATGGAGGAGAGCCGTATCTACCTCGAGGGCCTGGCGGTGGCGGCGGCGCGTGCGCAGCTCCTTGACGATGCGTCAGAGATCAACGTCTCGGAGGTGGTTTCCAGGCCGCGCCGCCCACAGTTCAATCTCCGGCACAAGGAGTGTGCCCGGGTTGCCCAGCAGCCACAGCGTGGACCCCAGGGTCGGCGGCCGCGCCGGCGGCGTTCCCTCCTCGGCGCTGTTGCTGCGAGACGAGGAGGCAACGGCGCGAGAGGGCGGGATGGGGAGGAGCCCTCTGCGGCGGCCAAGGCTGAGCAGGCGGCGCGCCGCGGCGAAGAGAGAGGACGAGGCCATGGCGAACGGTGTGGCGGGTGGTGGCTTCGCGGGCACTGACTTGCCTAGCCCGTGCGGGGTTTGGGCCTCTCTTTTGGGATTTGGGCTTTAGCCATTTCGGTTTTTGGCCAAATTCACGTAGGCCCCTCTCCTGGAAACCCTTGCCCGAACGGGAAATAAGGCCCTGTTTGGTTCCTTATGACTAGGGACTAGAGACCAGATTGTAGCCTCTTTTAGTCCCTAAATTGCCAAACAAGGGGACTAAAAGAGGGACTAATAATCTCTAGTCCACTAATCTCTTGAGAGGTGCTAATTGAGACTAGTGGCCCAAATTTCTGGCCCATGTCCCCTCAAACTCGCTCGAACTCTCCCCGAACCCTATCATCTCGCTCACACTCCTCCCCACCGCCGCCTCGCTCGCCCGCACGACACCGCCTCGTTCCTCCCCATGCCGGCGCAGCCCCTCCCACTCCTCCACACGGCGCATCCGCCATGGACGGCCAATACAACCACTACCGGGATTTCTTCACTCAGGCCTCGCTTTCTTCCTATGTCGCATCCGGCTCCTCTACTTATCCTGCCTTCCCCGCCGCCGACGAGTTTGGCCTCTATTCCCAGGTCCCGCCTTCTCCCTTCGCCGGCAGCAGCCAGTCTGCTCCCTACATGCGCAGGGAGAACCTAGATTTGAATTCCCAGGCCGACGCCTTCCCCTACCTCGACATCTTCCCCAACCAGGAGCAGCTGCAAGCGGATGGAGGTCGTGGCGGCCATGGCCTTCCTTCGCTTCGCCCTGGCGGCAAAGGCAGTCTCAGCCACTTTCACCCTCCACGTCCGAGCTCTCATAGCCGATCTGGAGGTAGATCCGGCGGGCGGCCATCACAATCCGGTCCGCAGGGGCTTCCAATGGCCGGAATCGACAGTGGTGACCGCAGGAGAAGGGTGCCCCTCTACGTTGGCCGTGGATCCACATCTACGGGCACTGCAGAGGATGTAGACCGCGCCGACGGAAACGAAGAACAAGACGACAACGACTTTGATCCGCGTTTTTAGTCGGTAAGATCCACATCTACGGGCATGGAATGCTCGAGCACTAGTAGTCAGTTACTACTAGTTTTAATATTTCTTGTATTATATTAGATTGTTGGTTAGCTTAGCTACATTCTATAGATAATAGATTGTAGTTGTGGTAGAGCAGAGTAGATGATGATGCTTTTTATTGTCTGCTTTTTCTGTTCTAGTCAGTGGTAGGTACCTTTGCTGCTAGTTACATGCTACTTATGTAGTTACCTCAATCATATTTATTTTAACTAGGAGCATTTCCATGCAACATATTTGAGTATTGCTTCAACCATGCTACTGTGGTAGCGCAGAGGAACTAGCTAGACCTCCAAGTCAACTTGGAGCGGGGCAATGCTGCTATGCCGAGTCCATACTCCATAGGTTTTTGTTGGTTTCATGGACTAACAGGAGCCGGAGCGCTGCGAACCCTGCTTTTTTAATAATGAAACTAAGTTCCAGCCTCTACCATCCGAGGACGGTACATAGCTGAAAGCCTCTGCCATTCGAGGATGGTACCCAGCTGAAAATGATGTTAGCTGTGTCCATCTGTGTTCTTCAGAACGTGTTTCATCTGTGCTTCAGTTGCATTTTTGTTCGGTGCTGGGTTCCTTGGGATTCCCCTTTTCTTTCATCGTTTTTGTTTGGATCGGTAATGTCTAGCGGTGCCACCTTTAGGCTTTGGTGACTGAAATTACTACTTGTTCGTTTCTATTTGTATGCGCACCAGGACTAGTGTTTCCTTGTGTTTATGATTGTTTTCGAGTTCTGACTTACGGGGCGCAGGTCCGTGTTGGTGTTCTCTTGTGGAACTAGAACCAAGGATGGAGTGGGCTGGGTTGACCCAAAATCCAAATCCAAAGAAAATTAGTTGGACAGAGTGGGTAGTGTTTGTGACAACCAAGAAGGCGCGCGCGAAGCGATACTGTATTATGCATTTATGCTTATGCATGAGCTCTCTGATTTAATCTAAACACTAGATCATCATAAAATGGTGGTTTCTAACCCTTAAGTGCAAACGTGGTCACTTCTTTTTAATACCATGGTAATGATACAATAGATGACCAATTAACCATGGATGCCACATTCCGTGTGAGTACCCACAGAATAATGCGAAGTTGTTGTATTTATTGCCATGCTACTTGTGTAGTTAGAGTTAGACTACTTTTTACAGTAGCATTACCTTTTTATAGTTTTAGTTTATTGTCTTCATGTGAAGTAGTATGTGACTGTTATTTCAATCAGCTGAATCCTCAAGTACCTCTTATTTGTCTGCATTTTGTACACCAATTTACAGTTGAGTTTTGTCGCATTCTAGATATGTGATGCCATCTTTTTTCTATTATAGAAGGATTATGACAAGTCACATTGGAGTGACCAAAACATATACTATTTCTGTGAACTTTTTATTGAGCAAATGAGAAAAGGGAATTGGAATAATGGGACCATGACCACTAGAGGTTACAACGAAATTCGAAAAAATATTACCACATCACTAATCTCTGGCATGACACCAAATGCATGAAGAACCGAGTGAAAAATTGCAAGACAATGTACCAGTTCTGATTGAAGCTTAATCAAAACACAGGGTTAGGCCGAAAACCTGATGGTACAATGGATGCATCGCCTGAATGGTGGACCAACAACACAAAGGTACTTACTGCTTTGGTTTCACCTAGACCATGCGCCTTGCTCGCCGTGATGTGATCTAATAATTTGTGTTCTTCATCTGTGCATTTCAGGGACAAGTAGAGCGCAAGAAATTTCAGTCGGGCAATCCTGCTTACTTGCACCTTCTAATCGAGATGTTCCAAGGTGTGACAGTAGATGGGTCATCTTCATGCATCCTTGGACAGCAAGCATGTGATGTTGTAGGGGATGACGCGGTTGAGGTTTCGGGGGAATTGCTTTGCTTGTCCCGCAGAAGTGATGCGATGTGTTTGGGAACAGATCCGATGAGTAGTACCACCGCAAGAGGGCAAGCAAGAAGTGCCACTACAGCCGAGAGTCCATCCAAGAAATGCAAGTCGGCGACACCCACCCAGAAAAGCAAGACACCTTTGCTTGAACATGATGAGTGGAATCATGGACAAGTTTGATCAGACAGCAAGCTTTCAAATGAAAAATTGGATCAATACTGAAATAGCAAGGTACTCGTACATATGAAGAAGAAGCAAGAGAAGCGTGAACAAATAGATGCGGATGCTTGGCCTGGCGAAGGAAGGAATGGGGGGCACCAAGAAAATGAAGAATTCTTCATAGCTACAACATTATTTGAGAAAGAATACAACAGGAACATCTTCTGTAAACTCACCACATCAGAGTCAAGGTTTCTGTGGTTGAGAAGATGGTGCCAGCGCAGCAGCGGGTGAAGTGTGAACCAATGGAGTGTTTGATGTATCTATGATGATTGTAGTATCTTAAGTAAAGTGTAGCATCTTTGGACCTATTATGTGTGATGAACATCTTCTATGCTTGTTAAACCTATTATATGCTTAATGAACCTATTATGTGTGATGAACATCTTATGTGCTTGATGAACCTATTATCTGTGATGAATTTATTTATGAGTGGTGAACCTATGTCTTGACTCTTGAGTGGTGAACCTATGTCTTGAGTGGTGAACCTTTTTTATGAGTGGTTAACCTATGGTCTGATGCTGTTTGTTGTTTGTGTGTTCAGGTCAATGATGTTAATGCAGCAACACTTGAGGGAGATGGCACTAAAGATGATGATGATGATTCAGAGCAAGGGTCAGATGATGATTCAAGTGATAGTGCTAGTTTGGAGGATGATGATTCAAGTGACAGTGATAGTTCGGATGATGAAGATGCTGCTATAGAAGAGTATTTCTTGAGGGCTCAGAAGAGGAGGTGGCAAATGGTCCTTACTGCATCCATGATCGGTATGATTCACTTCGACAAATATATGAACAAAGCTGAGTATAGAGTACCTAAAGAATCTAGATACGAATGGGTCATGAGAAACCTAGGTAATAGGACTGGTTGTTACAACATGTTTAGGATGCACAGAAATGTTTTTGATAAGCTTCATAATGTCCTTGTGGAGTCATATGGATTGAAGTCCACACGTAAGATGTCATCAGTGGAGGCTTTGGAGATGTTCTTATGGATATGTGGAGGACAACAAGCTGTTAGACAAGTTGAAAATAGGTTTACACGATCACTCGAGACAGTTAGTAGGAAGTTTGAGAAGGTGCTGGCTAACGTGTCCAAGCTAGCAGCTGATATCATTAGGACAATTGATCCTCATTTTAGGTCTGTGCATCAAAGGTTACAATCCCCTCGGTTTTCTCCTTTCTTTGATAAATGCATTGGAGCCATAGATGGAACACATGTCCCTGTAGTTGTGCCAACTAATCAGGTAGTGCAACATACGGGGAGGCATGGTTACACTACTCAGAACGTGTTGGCAATATGTGACTTCAATATGAGATTTACCTTTGTTGTGGCGGGATGGCCTGGATCCATTCATGATATGAGGGTATTCAAGGATGCAATTGAGAAGTATGGCGACAAGTTTCCACGTCCACCTGAAGGTATTGATGTCTACTATCATCTCTTGTTTCACCTAGATTGACATACTTTTCATGTTACTTTCCATGTTTCACCTAGATTGTGTTAGCCACTATTACTTTTGGCGGATCTTTTTCTGTAGTTTTAGTCCATGCAGGTGCAATGCTTAACAGTGGCTCAGTATGTGTGCTAGTGATGCAATAGATATTGTGGTGTGGTTGCAATCTTACCAGTAGCCATACAAATAGCTAATATTTGAAAAATACATGAGCTGAAATTATATTGAAATACATGAGTTTGTATGAATAGAACGGATAACGAAAGATAACGGAAATACATAAGTTCAAAAAAATTCCCTGATTTTTTGAGTGTGCAAGGATATCACTCTCTATCTCAGAGGGTTCATCCTGCAGCCATTCAATCAGTCTATCATGTAGATCATTATCCTCTAAAACCTCTTCATCTTGTTCATTAACAACAGCTTTAGTATGCTTAATATGAAGATTATGTCTAGCAATCTCAAGGTCCTTAAGCATATTGAAAGTACCAAAATTAATATTATCTACTGCAACACCCATATCAGCAGAAAGACAATTGATAGATTCCACAGGAAGATCAGAACACATGTTGGTAGCAAGGGGTTACCTTCTAAGTTTCTCTTCCTGGCCATCCTCTCATTTTTCTCCTTGGTTGTAACCGTGATGTCATTCCTGAGGCGTTCACTCCTCCTGATTTCGCCTTGCATCTTCATTTGGGCTTTGCATCGTCTTCATTCTGCGAGAGATTCTTGAGCCGTCCATCTTGTTCCACAGTATCCTTCCCAGATATCACACTCTCTTGAGTATTCACTATAGCATCTTCAGAGATTTCTACTTCAGTAGGAGCAGGGATAACCACTTGCTGACTAGGAACAGAAACATCCTTGTTTTGATCCAGAAGAGAAGGAATAGAAGTCTCCAAGTCTTCTTTGTTGCATTGATATTGTTTGATGTTCTCACCAATAGCAGTATTATTCATACACCAGATTTGGTGAGAGTCTTCACCGTTGCCTTGTTTGGAACAACCTTGTCCAAGATCCCCGTAGCCATCAATCTTTCTGATTAGGTCACTAAGAGTTTCACTGTCAGAATCAGAGTTCTCAAATGAGTCTGGAATATGCACTTTACCACCAAGATCATCCCCCACAGTTGTCTATATGACCAGATTTCTCCCAGTTCCATATTTCCCACCAATCTTTGATGGTGCAGACATAGTAACATTGTTACTCTGTCTTTTCTCTTCAGCTGTACCCTTTCCAAGTGTTATGGTTTTCCCACTGGTTTGGCCAGATTCTTTGTTGTTAGTCTCAGCCGCTTTGAATTTCTTGGGGGGAGGGGGATAGCCACCTTCAGTTATCTTAATTCCACTCTTAAGAGTTTTCTCAGGGCCTTCAACTTCCACCTCCCTTTCAAAATGAAAATCATGCACTGCTAGTCCTAGAGAACTCTCAGCAGTCCTTGGAACCTTAGTGATATCTCTACAAGCAATTCTTGACCATTGACTTGTTTGATTTACGTACTGTTGTTTATTAGGCAACTTGAGCTGTGACATGTCCATTAGCCATTGACTTGTTTGATTTACGTACTGTTGTTTACGTAATGTTGTAAATCTGCAACTGCATTTATGTCTTAATTCCATGTTATGTAGGGAAGTTTTATCTTGTAGACTCGGGTTACCCAAACCGAACAGGTTATCTTGCACCGTATAAGGGAACAAAGTATCATCTCCAGGAGTTTCGGCAAGGACCAATGCCAAGAGGTAAAAAGGAGCTCTTTAATTATTCGCATTCTTCACTTCGAAATGTCATCGAGCGGTCTTTTGGAGTTTTGAAGATGAAGTGGAGGGTATTGTTAGATTTGCCGAGTTATCCAATGGCAAAGCAAAGCCAAATAATTATGGCTTGCATGGCCGTTCATAATTTCATTCGAGAGAGTGCTTTAGCGGATACGGACTTTGATATGTGTGATTAGGATGAAAACTACGTTCCAATGGCCGAAGCATCGTGTTCTTCTCAAGGAAATAGACGACGTATACGTCAAGGGGACGAAGATCAAAATATGAATCAGTTTCAGGATTAGATAGCTAATGGTTTATTTAGGAGATAGTAGGTCTGATGATTTGTAATATTAAATATTTATGAACTGCATGAACACTATTTTGAATTTTTCCATGATTTGGGGAGAGGAAAGCCTGCAGGCAACGCGACAAGGCAAAGCAAGCAAATACGCTTGAAAAAGCAAATATGAATGAGGGTACAAATTTCTAGCTGATTTGTGTATTGAATAGGGGTATCATGGTCTTTGTGCAGTAGATTAGTCCCTTGAACCAAACAGCATGAGGGACTATAGTTTAGTCCCTGTGTAGTCCCTAGTCTCTAGTCCCAAGAAACCAAACATGCCCTAAATGCATTTTACATCCCTAAACTATGGAGAAATCTGATTTTCTCATTGGACTCATCCGAAAACCATCTTGACCGGACGTTCGGACCCGAGTCTTTGTCCGAATAGAGACGAGGGCGCACTATTTTTCTTCCTAGCACCATTGACGTGGCCCACCGCACCACCGCTCCTCCCTCGTCTCCATCTCCGACAGCTCTCTCTCCCTGCCTCGTCTCCATCTCCTTCAGGCTTAGAAGGAAGGGGCTCGGGGGAGGTAGGGAAGCCAAGCGGTGGGGATGGTGGCCGGGCAGTTCGAGGCCCTGGTGGTGGTGGAGGCGGATGGGCTAGGTCGGGGCGGGGGCGTCTTAGCGGCTTCCCGGCGAGCATGACCATGGCGGTGGCGGCGGAGCTTCGGCGAGACCCTATTGCCCACGGTAGGGGTGGTGGGGGCTGGGCAGGGGAGGCACATGAGAGGCGGGGGAGGAAGGGCGCGTGGCGGGGGGAGAAGAAGAACAGTAGTGTCGTCGCGCAGCTTCCGTCAAAGTGGGCAGACCCTAGCTGCCCCTGAGCTGACTTGACATCTTATTTGAACTCTGCAAACCGCTCAAATTACTCCATCTCTTGGTTTGGAGAGGTTTTGAAGCTGGTTTGGCCGAGACGCGTGCTTCGTCGGCTGCCCTATGTTGCCATCGCGCGACATCCCTTCACAACGGGTAGGCCAGCAGTGGGCGGCCTTCTTCTACCTCCCCAAACGGCCCAAAAGGAACCCGCTCCTTCGTCGCAGTCAGACATCAGCACCAAAGGTTTGGTTGGAAGCCTTGCAGGTAAATGTCTGCCTGGTAACAGATTTTGGTTCCAGCCACCAGACATCCAAAATTTGACGCTTGAGATGCATGTCTAGTTCGGGAAGCTTTATGCAGCCATGAACCAAATAGACCCCAAGAGTGTGTTTGCTTCTCTTCTTCTGGCGAAGACGTCTAGCTAGGCATTGGAACGCCTACAATCAAAATCATATGCACATATGGTCCCTAGGCGAGGGTGCAAAGCAAACAAGCCCCGCATATGTCTTTTCAAAGTGAGTGAGCGAACATACTACACATGGTATTTCATGAGTAAGTACTCCCTCAGTCCTGTAATACAATGTATTTAATATTAAAAAATTATATCTAAATATAAAATATTTTAGAAGAAAAAAATAGTTTTGCATTGAATAGTAGGACAAATTTGGCAAGTATTATATAGTTAATTTTCATTTATCAATCAATCTCCATTAACACGCGGATGATAGCGGCTAAATAAAAATAGAATAAGGATATAGTATGTGTCTTTTGTATTCTCTCTTAACTTATTCTAAAATTTTTAAAATACATTATATATAGAGTAGAGAGAGTATATCACATTAATGTCTTGTTTGGAAGTTATCAGATTCACCTCAATCCACATGGTTTATGGTAGAATTTAGTTCAAATTTCACTCTAATCCACCCCAACGCATGTGGATTGATGAGAAACTGACTATATCCAAATAAATCCTAATGAATTTGGTTTCATACCATTAGTGTTACAAATAGAAATGAAATCATCATCAAATTACAGGGTAATCGGATGTGGGATGGATGATTGCGGCCTTTCCTTGGTTTGGTAAGGTAACGGTGTACCAGTACCACACCGTTTTGAAACACTCCCGAGTCCCGCCTGCAGCCTCCGCGCGCCGTCTGCAGCAGAGCAGCAGTCATTGCCACGGAGAAGCAGTTTCTGTACCAACATCCACGGAGAAGCCTTGCCGCTCCGATGCGCCATTGCTGCAACCATGCAGCTCTTGCCGTCGTGCACAGGCCACAGACACGCCGTGGAGCCTATGCGACCACGGCTTCATGATCGAACTGCCTGCTGGCCCTGGCCGGTAACGGATCACGTGGTAACGCATTACACCAATCGCTTCCCCTCGGTGGTCTGATTACTATGCTACTGTTCCCTCCCTCGGTTCTAAATATTAAATCGTTCAGATTTTCTACATAACTTTTATTAGGTATATAGATACATAATGTATATCTAATCTAGGTAAGTAATAAAAACGTCTATTATCTAGAAAAGAAAAAATGACTTAAAATTTAGAACGGAGGGGATACAAAACAAATGGTGAACCAAACATCACCTTACAAAACTCAGATAGTATGCTGTAATTAATAAAAACAACCAACTGTCCAAGGAAGGGGTAGCTAACTATTAATTTAATCTACTATTAGGAGTAATACTCCCTCCGTCCCACTAAGAGTATCATTCTTATTTCTCAAGAAGTCAAATATTTTTAACTTTGACCAAATATATATATAAAATAATATTTATAATGCATAATTAGTATCACTAGATGAATCGTTGGATATAATTTCATAATAAACTTATTTAGAGATAGAAATGTTGCTAAAACTTTCTACAAAATGGTCAAACTAAGCACGAACCTCATAGTGAGATTCTTTTTGGATGGAGGTCAGCTCACGAGGAGCTTCCGTTGCCTCTTCAGCTTTCTTTTCTTCTCTCGAATGAGCCCTTGACAAAGCCTCGGTCATATCAGAGTTCATTGGCACAACAATTTTCAGCAGATCAATGAAAAGCTTCGACATCCTTGACCTCCCCTTCATCTTTAAGATACTTAAGTATCATCTGAATCATCGAAGGACTTGGGATCCAGCCAGAATTAGGGACGCACATAGAGAGGGCATTTTTGGTCAGCTCATAAGCTCTCGCGACATCACCTTTCTCCGTATATCCACTTGCCATAATTGCCCAGCTGGTTGAAGAAGGCATCTTACCCTTTGGCAAGAAGCTGTTGAGCAGCGCCTCAGCCTTGTCCAGAAAGCCCTTTTGGCAGTATCCTTTGAGCAGCACATTTGGAACTTTGAAGTCCAATGCATTGTTGCTGGACTCCCACTCTTTCAGCAAGTCTTCAGCTTCAGCGATCTCATCAAGCTTCACAAGCACTGCAAGCATGTTCAGGTTGTTAGGTTGATCTCTACCAACTTGGCCCAACGATCAATTGGGCCCTTGATCCACGCCCTGATCGGGGCCACCCAACCCTATCTATGGTTGGTGGGCCTCCGTCGCACAGCGCCATAAAAATGAGGTGGGGGCTGGGGCACAAGGCACGAGGTTCACCTGAGCCGCCACAAACACCACCTACATCCTAACCCTAAGCCGATCTAGAGAGGCTGCGTTGCCAGTGACGGAAAGCTGCCACCGCAGCGTCTTCATCACCACCTCTGCGACCGCGTCTCCACTGCGCCTTCGACACCGCCGCCGGACTCCACTGCTGCCCTACATCTACACCATGGCCAGCTTCTCCGCCAAGCCTGCCGATGGTCGGTAACGCCTCCCCACTCTCATCCTCTCTCTCTATCTCTCTCAGTTTTAGTTCATGTTCTAGGGTTTACTATATCCTAAATGCAAGTTTATATCCGCTAGATCGACTGCTAGTCGGTCTTAAGTTCTATCAATGGTATCAGAGCCTTACTAGGGTATAGATCTAGTCTTGGGGTAGAATAGAACGAGAAAGTAGAAGGAGAGGATTCGAATTTCCTCTCAAAGATGTGAACCCTAACCCTAGATAAGACGAGATCCGGCGGGCCTACCTGGTCCTCTCGCCGGAGCGCACTACCGCCGATCATCATTGACGCCGCATGGGTAGCCAAGCCGCCGCTCGCCGCTGAGATTCCAACGCCCGGGCACGGGCTCAGGGCGTCGACGCGGGGACGCTCGACGGTGGGCCGCTCTCCCTCTGGGGAGCGCGCGCGCCGGCGAAAGGGACAGCGGCGGAGCCGCCACCTCCTCCGGCAGCCATAGGAGGCTGCTATTGCGCTGCTCTGTTTCGCTGCGGTGCTGATGGGCGACAAGGGGAGGGAATGAATGAGGCTAGGGTTTTCAGGGGACGCCGACGCACTAGGTTTTTGATTCGGCGAAAACGGTGGCCAGCCGTCCGATGCGGCGCTCGGGCGATGGATGGCTGAGAGCAGCCGGGCCAGATTCGGCCCAGGCGGGATGTCAAATTCCCGACCCAGGCCCAGGTTGCGGCCTGGGCACGGGGGAGCGCGACAGCACGCACTGGGCCACAGGCCAAAGAGCGGGCGCGCGAGCGAGTGGGCCGCTGGCTGGTTTTCGAGCTGGGCCTTCGGGCTGAATGTACAGTAAATTCACTGTTTAAGTTTTATTATTTTTCAGAAGCAGTTTTGATGAATTTTGTCAAGTTTTGATGTTAAATCTCTGTCAAAATTTGAACCAACGGGATAATTTTTTCCAGAGAGTAGATGGGTACAGTAAAATGCTTCTGAAAAGTAGATAAATTATTTTTTCATGTTTCCATTGTAAAGTTTAATGTTTATTATCTTCTAATTAAATTCGAACCAACGGGGGATTTAATTTGAAGAGCAGTTATTTTTAATCCATAAATTATAAAATTGTTATTTTTCTAACCAACGTTGATAGTAGCAATATTATAATCTTTTTTCATGAGTTTTCCTATGCATTACTTCTATTTCTGCCTAACGGTGATGTAGAATTAGTGTAGAAGAATGTTATATGTTGTATGTTTTAATTTTGACCAACGTTAAATTAAGACATGCAATTATTAAGTTATATTTTCTCACTATCTCTGACGGTGTTTTTCAGGACTCAACCCTATAGCATTTATCTCGCACATACCGCCTCTTGGAGGGGGCAACTATCGTGTATGGAGAGAGAAGTATGAATTAGCACTTGAGCTATCCGAGAATGACCTACCGCTTATCTCTCCGTGTCCTACTAAGCCAGTGGACCCGATGAGGGAAGAAAATGAAACTGATGCTGATTTCACTGCTTGGCAGCGAGATCATGCAGAAGTAAGAGTGAAATATGATCTCGAACATAAGAAATGGGACATTTTGAATCGTAAGTGCTTGATGGTGGCTAAGTCCACTATTTCAGATGCAATAAGGGGGTCTATCCTAGATTATGACACCGCCACAGAGTATCCCAAGAAAGTGGAGAGTCAGTTTACTGGCTCTTCAAAGGCTTATACCAGTACCCTGATAAAGAAATTATTCAATGAGAAATACTCTGGTGGAGGGATAAGAGAGCACATACTGAAGATGAGCAACACGGCTTCCAAGCTGAAACCAATAGATTTGGGGCTCAAGGATGAGTTCCTGATTCATTTGGTTTTTTGCTTCCTTGACTAAAGAATATAAAACTTTTGTTTTAAATTACAACATGCAGCCCGATAAATGGGATATTGAGAAGCTCATTGCAATGTGTGTGCAAGAAAAGGGGCTAAAAAGCTTACAGGGTGACTCTGCTAACCTTGTGAAGGACAAGAAGAAGAAGAACTTTAACAAGAATGCCAAACTTCAAGGGAAAGCCCCTCAGAATGACCACCATCAAAAGAACAATAATACCCAAGTTGAAAAGGATCAGTGCAAATGGTGCAAGAAGCATGGACATTATCAGAGGGACTGTCCAGATTTCATGAAGAGCCTTTTGAAGAGAGTTGAGGACTTCATTACATTCATAGATGAGTCATTGTATTTCAGTTATGCAAAATCTACTTGGTGGATTGATTTAGATGCAACTATTCATGTTGCAAATTCATTACAGGGATTCCATACGAGGAGGACCCTGCAAAGAGGAGAAAGAAGAATTAAAGTTGCAAATGTAGTTGAAGCTGAAGTTGAAGTCATTGGAGATCTCTCTTTAGAATTAGATGATAGTTTTATACTTCAGCTTTCAGATATTCTTTATGTACCCTCTTTGCATAGAAACTTTATAAGTGTTTCATGACTAGACGATGATGGATATGATTACCATTTTGGTAATGGCAAATGTCAGATTGTGTTTAATAATAAATGTATTGGTCTTGCCATCCGACAAGACAAGCTTTATTTGTTATCACTTTCTGAGAATGTGAATGATGTGAGCACTAAGAATGAGAATACTTCCTCGTCTATGAATGCAACAAATAAGAGGAAGAGGATTCATGATGCATCGTCGAAATTATGACACTGTCGTTTACGCCATATTTCGAGGGGGAGAATAAAGCGATTGATTAAAAAATCAATTCTTCCGCCTTTAGAATTTTTAGATTTAGAACAATGCATTGATTGCATAAAAGGAAAGTATGTTAAGAAAATAAAAAAAGATGCCAAACGAAGCGCGGGAATTTTAGAAATAGTTCATACAGACATCTGTGGTCCTTTTTCTGTGAAGAGTGTGGATGGTTATGATTCATTTATAACATTTACAGATGATTATTCTCGTTTTGGCTATATTTATCCAATTAAAGAAAGATCAGAAGCATTGGATAAATTTAAGATATTTAAGGCTGAAGTAGAAAATCAGCACAACTTAAAGATTAAAGTAGTGAGATTCGACCGTGGGGGAGAGTACTACGGTCGACACACCCCATATGGCCAAATTCCTAGACCTTTTGTAAGGTTCTTATAGGAAAATAACATAGTTGCCCAGTACTCTAAACTGGGCGAGCCTCAGCAGAATAGAGTAGCTGAAAGACGCAACCGTACCTTAATGGATATGGTGAGAAGTATGATAAGTTACTCTACTCTATCGATAAGTTTATGGATAGAGGCATTAAAAATCATCATTCATATTCTTAATCGAGTGCCAAGCAAATCGGTGCCCAAAACACCATATAGTTGTGGACAGCAAAGGAACCCTCACTTAACTATTTACGTGTGTGGGGTTGTCTAGCTGAGGCTAAAGTCTTTAATCCAAACATAGAGAAGCTAGACTCTAAGACAGTTGGTTGCCACTTCATCGGCTAACCAGAAAAGTCAAAATATTATCGCTTCTATTGTCTTGACAGAATATGAAGTTTGTAGAAACGAAACACGTTGTGTTCTTCGAGGGTGATATGGTTAAGGGGAGCATGGTAGCATGAGAAATTAATTTTGAAGAGAAGCGGGTATACGTGCCCACTCCGATGGTTCAGGAACCATTCTTTACGCTACCTATTGTTGTTGTACCAACAGTGCATGACACTATAGTAACAGCGCCTGTTGTTAGTTCTCCTGTGGCAACAATGAATGAACATGAGGAACCTATCGTTCAGGATCCCATAGAACCCGTTATCACACATGAGGAAGAGCAACAACAACCTCATATAGAACAAGCATCAACTAACGAGGCCCCTAGAAGGTCTCAAAGAGTCAGGAGATCAGCCATTCCTGATGACTACGAAGTCTATGAATGTGAAGAATTTCAAATGGAGGGTGATCCCACCTCATTTGAAGAAGCCATAAGAAACGCTCACTCATCAAAGTGGTTTGAAGCCATGCAAGATTAAATAAGATCAATGAATACCAACGGTGTTTGGGACTTAGAAACAATTCCTAAAGGAGCCAAGACAGTAGGCTGTAAACGATCTACAAAACTAAACATGACTCCAAAGGGAACGTAGAAAAATTTAAAGCATGACTTGTGGCGAAAGGCTTCACGCAAAGAGAAGGCATAGATTACAATAAGACATTTTCTCCAGTCTCATGTAAGGATTCTTTTAGAATTATAATGGCGCTTGTAGCACATTATAATTTAGAATTACATCAGATGGATGTAAAGACGGCGTTCCTAAATAGGGATTTGAAGGAAAATATTTACATGGCACAACCAAAAGGTTTTGTTGTGGAAGGAAAAGAACGTATGGGATGCCGCATGAAGAAATCCATTTATGGATTAAAATAAGCATGAAGACAGTGGTATTTAAAGTTTAATAGTACAATAAGAAAGTTTGGGTTTCAGGAAAATACAAAGGATAATTGCATTTATACAAAATTCAAGAATGAGAAATACACTTTCCTAATCTTGTATGTGGATGACATCTTACTTGCTAGTAGTGATGTTAATCTACTACTAGAAACAAAGAAGTTCTTGTCCTCGAAGTTTGATATAAAGGATCTCGATGAAGCTTCGTTCGTTCTAGGAATAGAGATTCACCGAGATAGAGAAAAGGAGGTTTTAGGACTATCACAAAAGGCATACTTAGAAAAGATTTTAAAGAAATACAATATGTAAAATTATAAGCCTGCACCTACTCCCATAGTCAAGGGCGATAGATTTGGGGAATTTCAATGTCCTAGGAACCAATATCATATCGATAAAATAAAAGCGGTTTCATATGCTTCAGCTATCGGAAGTTTACAGTATGCTCAAGTGTGTACACACCTTGACTTAGCATTTGTTACCGGGTTACTTGGCAGATATCAGAGTAATCCAGGAATAGAACACTGGAGACTAGTAAAAAAAGTTTTGCGTTACTTGCAAGGCACAAAAGGTCACATCCTAACATACAGAAGATCTGATTCCCTACACATAGAGGGGCATACAGATTCAGATTATATGAGAGATGATAGAAAATCCATGTCAGGATATATATTCACTCTCACAGGAGGAGCTATATCGTGAAAAAGCTCAAAGCAAACCGTCGCTACATCGTCTACGATGTATGTCGAGTTTGTAGCGTGTTATGAGGCCAAAGGGCAGGTGAATTGGCTGAAGAAGTTCATGTCCGGGTTGAAAGTGGTAGACGGCATACATAAGCCACTCAAGTTATGCTACGATAATAATACAGCAGTATGTTATGCTCACAATAATAAGTCAAGTGGTGCTGCCAAATACATTGACATAAAGTATTATGTTATGAAAGACAAAGTCCAGGATTATATAATTAGTCTTGAGCATATAAGTATAGAGAAGATGCTCGTGGATCCGCTTATAAAAGGCTTACCACCCAACGTGTTCAGAGAACACTTAGCAAGCATGAGTTTAAGGGAAAGCCTATGATTCCTGAATAATAAGGGCCTAGATGAGAATCTGTTGCAAAACAGAGAGGTGTATTGTAGCTGTTAATCTAATGGCAACTGACTGTGACGATGATGCACGCTCTATGCACTGATCTGTGATGGAATGGAAAAAAGATGAAGTGAGTTAAGTTTAAGTCATAAGGTGAGATCAAGGGGGGAAATGTTAGGTTGATCTCTACCAACTTGGCCCAACGGCCAATTGGGCCCTTGATCCACACCCTGATCGGGGGCGCCCAACCCTATCTATGGTTGGTGGGCCCCCGTCGCACAGCGCCATAAAAAGGAGATGGGGCCGGGGCACAAGGCACGAGGTTCACCTGAGCCGCCACAAACCCCACCTACATCCTAACCCTAAGCCGATCTAGAGAGGGGGCGCTGCCAGCGATAGAAAGCCGCCACCGCTGCGTCTTCATCGCCGCCTCTACAACCGCGTCTCCACTGCGCCTTCGACACCGCCGCCGGACTCCACTGCTGCCCTACATCGACACTATGGCTAGGTCCTCCGCCAAGCCTGTCGATGGTCGGTAAGGCCTCCCCACTCTCATTCTCTCTCTATCTCTCTCAGTTTTAGTTCATGTTCTAGGGTTTACTATATCCTAAAATGCAAGTTTATACCCGCTAGATCGACTGCTAGTCGATCTTAAGTTCTATCACATGTATTCCTTGTTGATATGCCTCTTATAATTCAACATTTGCAGTGCCCATAGCCTCTTGACCTCTGATTTGTCCCCAAGGTGGCCATACAGGGTAATCAAGTGGCTATAGGCACCCGAATGCTTTTTATCCATTTTTGCCTCTGCTTTCTGTAAGGCAGAGTATGCCTTCTCCCTCAGGTCACCCTTAATGTAGTGGCTTGCAACAACAGCGTAGGTATTCCAGCCAACAACTTGAGGCGCACATTCCATCTCTTCCAGGGTGTTCTCCATCCCAAAAAAGTCAGCTCTTGTGCTATAAGAATTTATGCATATGTTGTAGCTGAAATTATCAGGAACAATCCCATTGCTCTTCATTTCTACCATCACTGAAGGGACCCTATCATGCTGCCCTATGTTGGTATAGAGGCTCATGATGTTGTTGTAGGGGAGCGCGCAGAACGCGAAACCCAGCTCTTTCATCTTCTGAAAATGGGCCAACGCTTTGTCGACCAAGGGTTCTCGTGTGTAGCAGTTGAGAAGTGCAGCATATGGCTTCTCTGTCTTATCTTTGTCAGATAGTTTATTGAAGTAGGTCTCTGCTGCTCCAACTCCATGAATATGACCGATTAAATCCAGGTGAATAGCATTATCCTTTGGCAGAAATTTGACGTGACCCTTGAGATTCATCCACTCAGATACCTGTGCAAAGTGAAAAGATCATGGTGAACGAGGGATGCCAAGAATTCGTGCAAAACTATGCATACAGCAAGTCTGCAACGCTAAGTCCTTGAACATATATGCTTCTTGAGGACATGTATTCACTAATCATGTGCTATGAGCCTCTGAAGCAATGATGGCCAAGCTTGTACTAAATCCTATATGTTGACCAGCATTGTGGATACAGATAGGGGTCAGCACATAAGTAGTACCTATGACTAAAAAGCAGGCCAAAATCTCCTGAATTCCTAGCAATAATTCAAGTTGCCCTCTTTCCACATTGCTCACAAAAGGAAAAAGTCTTCACAAAAATATTTGACCGGATTAGCATGGTACCAATGAGTTGCTTATCACATTTTAGAAATTTCAGCATTACATCCGAGAGAAATCTATCCTCTTTCTGTAGCAGCATCAACAAGAAAAACACCACCATCCCCCATATCATTTCATCAAACACTTTTTCCATGCGCCAGTGACAACAAGCAACCTAGACAACACCATCCCCCCATATCATTCCATCGAACACCTTCCATGCGCCAGTGACAACAAGCAACCTAGAACGCAAGGGGGAGGGCATGGAGTAGAGCCGTATCTACCTCGAGGGTCTGGCGGTGGCGGTGGCGGCGGCGCGTGAGCAGCTCCTTGACGATGCGTCGGAGATCAACGGCTCGGAGTAGGTTTCCGGGCCGCGCCGCCCACAGTTCAATCTCCGGCACAAGGAGTGTGCCTGGTTTGCCCAGCGGGCATAGAGTGTACCGCAGGCTCGGCGGCCGCGCCGGCGGCTTTCCCTCCTTCGCGCTGTTGCTGCAATACGAGGAGGCTACGGCGCGAGAGGGCAGGATGGGGAGGAGCCCTCCGTGGCGGCCAAGGCTGAGTAGGCGGCGCGCCGCGGCGAAGAGAAAGGACGAGGCCATGGCGAATGGCGTGGCGGGTGGCGGCGTGGCGGGCACTGACTTGCCGTAGGTAGCCCGTGGCCCGTGGGGAGTTTGGGTCTTTCTTCTGGGATTTGGGCTTTAGCCATTTTGGTTTTTGGCCCAAGTATCGCGAGACCCTTTTCCCTGGAACCCTTGCAAAAAGGGAAAACATTATTCTATCTCCTGAGTTTTTGTTGTAGTCTGACTTTTCTCTGCTGAAACTCTAAAATCAAATATCTTACCTCCATGAACACTTAAACATTCGAATTACCTCCGTGTTCTAGTTTTGTGGGGTTTGAAGATGGTTTTGTCCTATTTTTAGTTTAAAAAAACGTTAAGGTTTTTAAACAACACAAAATGTCTCTAAGCTTTTAAAAAATTCTAAAAACAATTCTAGAATAGCTTGAGATATGAAAAATCAAAATAAAATATCCAGAGCTCATGAAAACATCTTTAGAAACTTAAAAAAATATAGGTTTAGCTCTAGAAAAATAAGGAAAATATCCAGAAAAATCTAGAAATTATCTAAAACATTCTAATTGATATGTAAAATGTTTTGTTCACGACAAAAAAAATAGTACACAACAAGCATGAATGAAGTGGCGTACGCGCCACATCTTGCAATGTTGTGAGCCTACGGCGGCTGTTGTGAGCCTAGGATGAGCTGAAGGAAATTGGGAGAGCAAGTCGAGGACAAGGAGCCATCGAAGAGAACCACCTTGCAATGTTGTAGTAAAGTTTATAGTCTTTCATAGATAAATTTAAATATGTATACTCTCTTACTTTCTAAATTATAAGTTGTACCTTTTTTAGTACATTACTTTTGTTACGCACAATATTAAAAACTATGTATTAAAAAAGACAAAATAATTTATAATTTGGAACGATGGTAGTATATACATATGTACTACACTACAACAGCTCGCGATGTCACTTATTAGTGACAGTGAAACCAAGCGTCTATAATTTTACGTCTATGATGTCAACAGTACTAATGACGGGTGCACAACCATCTCAGATAAGTATATAAAAGAGACGGTTGATAACCAGAAACCGTATCTGATATGTAACAAATGGCGATGGCTCCTTAAGGGCACTCCCAATGCAGAAACTAGTCATAGTTTCTATACCTCGAAGACCTCACAGCAAGAAATCATCTTCTCCAATGCATAGATTCTAATACTAGTTTCTATAGATAAAGAAATTTAACATGGAACACAAAGATAGCTGATCAGCTGTGATATATTACTATGTGATCCACTGTACACATCTCAATAGCAATACATCATCAATATCACGTTCTAGAGACAGAAGACACATTTGCAGGTCACATTTCTTCAGTAACTGAATCAAGCCCAAAACTTAGCAGAAATTGCAGGTCACATTTCTTCAGAAATTGAATGGACAATTTCCCCAGTAACTGAATCAAACCCAAAACTTAGCAGAAGTGCAGAACACATCCTATCAGGCTCACATAGGATAGGAACGAGTAAAATCATGCCAATCGTACAGGAACCATACCATTCAGTGATTCAGACAACCAGCGGCAGAAGAACAGGAGGCTAAACCAACAGCGACAGGAGCACCTACCGCCGGAGCACGAACAAGTACTTCACCTGGTACCCAAAATATGCTTCTTTGATCTTTCAACTTGCTGTACTCTATCTTTTGCTCGAGAAGTGCGATTGGGGATGGATTTTGGCGTAGGTGTGGCAGGGGAGGGAGACGGAGATGAGATACACGAGCTCGCTCGCCGTGCGCAGGAGCCCCCCGTGTTCAGAGGAGGGAGACGCGCGAGACGAGCGTCGAGGCGGGCCGGCGCGAGGAGGGCCGCTAGCGGCCGCGCTGGGAGGCGGGCGTCGAGCGGCCGCAGCCAGAGCTCCATGGCGTCAAGCGGCTGCACGCGGGCGTCAAGGCCGCGGCCGAACCTCCACGGCGAGCGGCCGCGCACGGGGAGGCAGACGTCCAGCGGCCGCAGCAGGAGCTCCAATATATCCAGCGGTCGAGGCCGCAGGGTCAGGGGGGCGCACGGGAAGCGAAGCCAGCGGCGATGGGGAGGAAGGCGCACGGGATCTTGGAGGCTCGATGGAAACTACCGCCGTCTTCCCCAACGCCAACGGACGTGGTTTCTTCGGCCTCGCTGCCCGTGAAGACGTCGAGTCTGCGTTAGACTCGGTTTCTTGGGTTTGGGCTCTCCTTCTTCGATAAATACACACTACTGGGAACAGGCACTTTGCCGAGTGCCAGAAGCTTTACCGATTATATTTTATAGCACACTCGGCAAAGACGGCTTTGTCGAGTGTTTTTTTTGGCACTCGGCAAAGATGGCTTTGCCGAGTGTTTTTTTTCGGCACTCGGTAAAAATGTATTTTGTCGAGTGCCATTTTTCGGCACTCGACAAAATGCGTCTTTGCCGAGTACCTTTTTCTGGCACTCGGCAAAATGCGTCTTTGCCGAGTGCCTTTTTTTAGCACTCGGCAAAGAGGCATTTTGCCGTGTGCATTTTTTTGCCCTCGGCAAATCATTTTTCAAAGCAATTTTTGAGGCCCTAAATAAATTCAAATGAAAAACTTTTCAACTACAAAGTTGTATAACTTCTCAAGATCTACAAAGTTTATTTTGATCATTTCTTCATTTGACAAAGCGACAATAACGTTGTTCATAAAATCTACATCTCTCTCATATCTCTCATATTAGTTTCATGAAAGTCGAAAAGAGAGATATAATATTTATGAATAATGTTACTACCACTATGTCGGATGACCAAATGACCAAAATAAACTTTATAGATCTTGAGATGTTATGAAATTTTGTAGTTGGCAACATTTTGATTTGAAATCATCTTGTCATGCAAAAATGACGTTTGAATTTGAAAATTTTAAATTTTGAATTTTTCAAAAGACCTCGGATGGAAAAACTTACTAAATGAAAATTGTAGATCTCCAAAAGTTATGAAACTATGTAGTTGACAACCTTTTGATTTAAAATCATCTTATCATGCAAAAGTACGTTTGAATCTCTCAAATTTGAAATTCGAATTTTTCAAACGACCTCGGATGGAAAAACTTCCTAAATGAAAATTATAGATCTCCAAAAGTTATGAAACTATGTAGTTGACAACTTTTTGATTTGAAATCATCTTATCATGCAAAACTACGTTTGAATCTCTCAAATTTGAAATTCGAATTTTTCAAACGACCTCGGATGGAAAAACTTCCTAAATGAAAATTGTAGATCTCGAAAAGTTATGAAACTTTGTAGTTGACCACTTTTTAATTGAATTCGTTTAGGGCCTCAAACAAGCAATTTATTCTCGATTTAGTATAATATATGATGATAGATAACAGAATCTAGACACAAGTGACGGTGTAGTGCAGCAGACACACGAGAGAGAGGTCATGAGTTTGAATCCTGCCGGCCATATTAGTCGCGAATTTTGCTCAAAAAATACAGCGACTTCGATGGCTGGTGGCGCTGGACGGACGGGCGCGGGCCAATGGCGCCCTTCCCCGGGAAAAAAATTTTGCTATTATTTTTGGGTTTTTTCGCATTTTCATTTTGCCGAGTGTAAATCTTTGCCGAGTGCTTTTCCGGCACTCGGCAAAGACTTCGCCGAGTGCCCGATAAAAAGCACTCGGTAAAGGCTTATTTCCCGATTAATTCTTTGCCAAGTGCCCTTTGCCGAGTGCGGCACTCGGCAAAGTGCGGGTTTCCAGTAGTGACAGCGCCAAATCAGGAAAATGCAATAAATAAGAGAGTAATAAATAATCGTAAAAACCATGATAGAGTCTGCAATAGGAGTGCCCTAAGGGCAGTCCCAACGAAAGAAACTAGTAGTTTCTATAACATAGGACACCGCACCAAAAAAATATTGCTTTCCAACCCATGGTTTTTATGAGTAATAATTATTTTCTCTCTCAACTCTATCTTCTTCCTCCAATGAGAGTGCGACACGAGCTCCCTAGAAACTGGTGGTTTCTCCCCAATGGCGATTTCATGGTTTCTTGGTGCATTGGGTCAAGAGTAGACCTGATTTCTTCATGAGGAAACATTTCTATGATTTTTGCTCTCTTTCTTCATTAATTACGTTGCCATGTCAACATTTTACCTACGTGGCAAGTCATTTAATGAGGATAGAAACTATCATCAATACATCATTGGAACTGCCCTAAGGCACTACCAGTCTCTGATTAGTACCTAAACAGACAGTTAATAACAAAAACCGTCTCTCATACGTAACAAATAGAATTTAGACAAGTTGCTCATTAGGAATCCGAGAAGAAACAAAATGTACTAGTACCTAGAGATAAGATATATATAGCAATAAGTACGGCTCGATCGTGCTGCACTCTGCATGCGTGCATGCAGCATTTTCACGTGCAGCAGTTTTTGTGGCCACAGGCATGCAAGCAGCTCTCTACGCATAGACCGCGTCGCCAGATCTCGGCAGGCCGGGCGGGCGGGCGCATTGTTTACGCGCCACTGCATGTGGCTCCGATCCATCGTGCAGCATTAGTCAGACGATGCATGCAATGTGCCATGCATCTCCAGCTAGCAAACTAAGTACAATGACATAGGTAGTAGTATTCTTTTATCCAACAGCTCGATATGATCGAGCTATAGCTAGAGGAGAGGCTAGCTCAATGTAATGAGATGGTACAAATGATTTCGATATGTGTGTGTCTAACTGTCTATATATATAGCTTATTATATATTTGGCTCTCAACTCTCTTTAGTGGCCATGTGCAACGGCATACATTGCATCAATACATAAGCTAGCTAGGCAGCATGCGTGCATGGCAGCATCCATGAAGAACGACGAACTTAACGAGCGGTTATGACAGTTATGCAATGAACACTTCCACTCCTATTTGGAGTGTTGGACACAAGCAAAACCACACCCCATTATTGACTAACAACATAAGCCGCTGTCGATAACAAAACTCTAGCTAGCTTGAGACACAGCTAGGTGAGCAAACAACAGCGCATGCATGCAAAGA